GTCTTTTACTCTCTCTGTTTGTCTTTGCGCCCTGACTGTATTTATGTGTGTCTGTGTATCTGTTTGTATTTGTGCCTGTCTTTTACTCTCTCTGTTTGTCTTTGCGCCCTGACTGTATTTATGTGTGTCTGTGTATCTGTTTGTATTTGTGCCTGTCTTTTACTCTCTCTGTTTGTCTTTGCGCCCTGACTGTATTTATGTGTGTCTGTGTATCTGTTTGTATTTGTGCCTGTCTTTCACTCTCTCTGTTTGTCCGCGTGTCTGTCTGCGTGTATCTATGTCTGTTTGTCAGTTACTCCATTTGTATGTGTATCTGTCTGCCTATGTGTAGGCCGACATATTCACCCTATTCGCCTCTTTATGCCTGCGTATCTGTTGTATTTGTGCGTGTGTGCGTATGTGCATGCTTCTATCTGTGGTGTATATGTGCGTGTATAAGTGTGTGAAGTTCAAAGCGCTCTTCGCCCCAACAAAGGGTCGTTAATTCCAGGAACTGAAGCGAGCAGAGTGTGAATACGGCGCCCGGGTATCACTGCCCTCAGCCTCATTCCCGTGCAGTTTCAAGCGGAGAAAGTGGGCACATGTTTGCAGCTGCGGACCATCCCAGCACGTCCTGGCACTGACCGCCCAGAAAGGTGCGTGTACAGTTCATCAGCGGGACTTGTCCCTTTGTTGGAGGTAGTACGGCTCAAAAAAGTATGCAATCTTGTAGTGAAAGCCTCACCTTGTAGCAGAATCCTAAACTTGAACCGACAACTAATGTCATACCCATTAGATGAAGAATGAAGGTTATCAATATTATCCACATTTCGAGCTAAAAATCAATCATTTTGATGTGACTAGTTCGTTGGGACTGGTACTGCATACACTTCTAAGATAGATAGATAGAGATACTCTAGTTCACTGCGGATGAAAGGGCGTGTCGGGTACTATGAGTGTGCCACGGCCCCGAACCGTTCTCTGCGTTGTTGAAGCGGATATGCAACAACAGTTGGTAGGAAACGAGTGATGTCAACGATATGATAGTCGCTTCAACAACTGTTGGAAAGCGAGTTTGGCACCGCGCCAAACGCATCCCGCCGACACGCCCCTTCTTCCGCAGCGAACTAGACCTAGCGCGGAGGCGTACGTTTCGGTCACAAGCTCCGTTAGTATTTATGCATTCGAGGGATTCCTTCCCCTTCAGTCTTCCCACGAATGAAGGTTGCGGCTTCCAAGTGGAAGTCACACGAACAACATTTTCCGTGCCCTGCTATGTTCCAGATAGAAGAATTTTGGAGTAAACCAAGTGGTCAAATTCGTATTGAGGAGGGAAGATGAGCACGACCTTGGATTACCAAGGCCAACTGTTGGGAGAAATACATTTTTATCAAGTTCTAAGAATAGGTCCTACCTATCGCCCGCCCATGTAAGACCTGCTTAAGAAATGAGACCGTCCGAGAGCTACTGCTGTGGAAAGGATGGTATCAGGTACTCCTTCGAAGTAAACATGTTTGCACTATTATGAGCGCTGGTAGTTGAAGCAGTTGCAGCCCATTTGCTCGGCTCTTACTAATCGCCCAAACGCACTAATCTTTCATTCTGAGAGCTGTCTGGGCGCTAGCAACGTCGTCAGCGTAAAGGACTTTTGTAACGCACTGGCGCAGTTGTAGCAGAGGTCCGAAGTGCAGTCCAATCTAGTCCGTGGTAAAGGGTGCTCCAGTGTAGGTTATATGCCTCGTTTCAATGGGTTTCTGCATATCGTGGAAAGTGACTCACCCATCTGTGAGCCAGCCATTGAGCACATATCGCAGGGG